AGAGAGAGAGAGAGAGAGAGAGAGAGAGAGAGAGAGAGAGAGAGAGAAAAGCAGCAGCTCAAATTTACTACACTCCTAAAAGAGCCAAAATTGTTTATCCCTCTAGATGATGCTACCCTGATGTAATAGAAGTTCCCCATTAATAAATAAACATTCTCACACGGCATGCCAAGCAGCCTCTAAAGGAGAAATAACTAAGAGCCTTTTAATTGTCGGCATTGCTAGCCACTTTGGTGATTTGTTAAATGTGCACAATGGGTCTTTAAAGCCTTTGTTTTGGGATCAACAGATCAATCAAGTTACTGCTAGCCTCCCTTGGGCTAAAAGGAGAAATGCTAAATGCAGTTCCAAATGGTCCTCCTTCTCTTTCTGAACAGGTCGGGGCTGTTGATCCATCACTGGCTTCTGGGGACAAAGCAGAGCTGGCTTCATGGAGAGAGAGAGAGAGAGAGAGAGAGAGAGAGAGAGAGAGAGAGAGAGATAGTCCTTCTGGCTACTTCTAGGGTGTCCTTGCTCCGTAATTGGGAGGTCTAGTTGACCTTGACTGATTATCACCAAGAAAAGGAGGGTCAGACAAGGTTAGTGCTTGGAATGGAAGACCACCAAAAACTAAGCCTAACCTGAAGGGGACTATCAACTCATAAAACATTTTGTATACGCATTTTATAGTTGACAATAGAAAGAAGGGGTGGGGGGTGGGGAATTTCAAATAACAGGCAGCAGTGTGGAATCAAAAATACATTCCATTCATATTTTCTTCAAAGACTGATTAGACGACTGAAGCTTCTGCCTCGCAAAAATCTAACTGGAGAGCATGATTGATGACTCTTGGCTATGGACATTTTTCTTTGGAGGTAGAATGTTAACTTCAAATAAATCTTTTTTAGTTTTGGGAGTGTGACTCGAGGCTCGTGATTTAATTGGAGTAACTGCCGGAATCCTGACAGGGACCTTCTCAACTCTCTCCAACAGGACTAATTTAGTGCGGACTCTTCCTGCCAGAGAAAAACTTATGGGCCCCTTGGTGTGTTTCATTCCCCAACTAGGTAACATTATCAGTGATGAGTTGCCTAGTTGGGTAATGAAACACCTGCAAGAAGATGACCAAGCTCAGAGAGCACCAAGGACCCCGCCGTTCAACCCTGAGCTACAAAGACTCTAGAACAGGGGTCTCCAACCTTGGTGACTTTAAGACCTGTGGACTTCAACTCCCAGAATTCCTCAGCCAGCTTTGCCAAGGTTGGAGACCCCTGGTCTAGAAGACACTACGCATGAAGTCCTTCATATAACCCTGCCTCCAAAGCAACTGAGATCACAGGCTCATTCTTGGATCATCTCCAGGACAGGGGGAGAGCCAGAAGCTCTGAAAGATGATATCATGCTAGACACAAGCATTGCTTTCCAGAAGAAAAACATTACCCCACATAAAAGATCCGATTCTCTTTGGACCTACCAGCCTTCCTGACCAGGAATAGCTCACGACTCGGTCAGTTCACTAACAAATGAAGCCTTTCCCAGCCCTCGTGTCATGTCAAAAAACAGAAGCACATGCATTCTTCAGGGCCCCAACACGCATGTCCATCAAGATCCAGACAAGGAATATTTCAGGTTTGTTTGGGGTTTTTTTTTTTTTGTAAAATAAAAAGAAGAGGATCTGCTTACTTACCGACTTGTCGTTTGAAAACAAGAATGTAAGCCAACTAGAAAAGGGTTATTGGATGCCTGCTCAAACACATGCTTTTCCGTTTGCACCCAATCAATATCCTGAAAGAGAGTAATCGGAGAATCCAAAGGGATGCTATAAAACAGGCTGCTAACACCAAAGGCCACACACTAACGCACACACACACACACAGACCCTCAAAAATTTTAATAAACATTCATAAAGTCCAGTCATAGATTTCTCATTCCTCTTACAATCTTTTTTTTTTTAATCTTCCTATATATATTATTTCGCTTTTTTGGGTGGGTCTGGTCAAAATAATAACTGTTTTATGTTGGGTTTTGGCAAAGGCTGGAAGTTTTAATCATATTAATATAGATTTCCCCCCCCTCCCCCCACCTTAGAATCCAGGAGGCTCAACGAGGTTAGGCTTGTGATGTGTTGAAGCAGCTTCTTACCTCATCGTCGTGAACCAATTCCTTCTTTACGACTTTCATTGCATAAATTTGATCGTTCTTTTTTAACCGCACTAAAAGAACTTTGGCATAGCTTCCTCGTCCGATGACTCTGATCAGATCGAAGTCCTGAAGGCCAAGACCCTGGGAGATCTTGATTCCATCCATTCCGTCAATAACTGGCTTGAGTTCCTACATGAGGAAGTATGGAAGACAGCACATTACAAAGTTCCCACCCTCTTTGCAATCAGAAAGGGAAGACAGACCATAGAATAATGGGGTTAGAAGGGAGCTTGGAGGTCCTCTAGTCCAACCCCCTGCTCAAGTAGGAGACCCTATATTATTCCGGACAAATGACTAGTCATCTCTTCTTGATAACCTCCAGTGATGGAACACTCACAATCTCAGGAGGTAAACCATTTTATTGATTAACTGTTCTCATGATCAGGAAATCTCTCCTTAGTTCTAGGTTGGATCTTTCTTTAATGCTACTTCTTCTCTTGCCCTCGGGTGCTTTGGAAAATAGGTTGACTCCTTTTTCTTGGTGGCGACCCCTCATATGGGAGGAGATCAACCAACAGTTATAGAACAATGTGGGGAACTACTCAAAAAACTAGAAGCCGTTCTTGGAATAGAAATTTGTACTGAAGGCAGAAACAACATGGACAACTCTAGCAAAGAAGATTTGGATGGAGGTTCCTTCTCTGGGTCATGGTGTTGAAGATGAGTTCTTTGGGAACACGTTTACTTTCTAAAGTTCTTGGTACTCTCAGAAGCCAAGTGAACTCTAAGACTGATGGAAAACATTTCCACTTGGGAAGCTAAAACTTGTCAAGAAAGAGACACAACTGCCCCTGTGCCAGCAAAGCTTAACAAATCAGCTGTTACGGGGTTCTTGATGCTCTCCGAGCTAGACGCGCTCTCTCTCTTTCTCTCTCTCTCTCTCTCTCTCTCTCACACACACACACACACACACACACTCCCTCCCTCTCTCTCCAGACGTACTGATGATCTAGCACTGATGATGTTACCTAGTGTGGTGATGAAACATTTGGAAGAAGCAAGCAAGGAGCCCACCGTTCAACCCCGAGCTTATGAATATTATCTTCTATAGATCAGCAACTGTAACCACACGGCTAAATCTGTTGAGGTCTGCGATGGCATCTGTATAATAGGAGTGTGCAAGGAATTCTGTCAGGGTAGCTTGAAGTTTTTCAAAGTGATCCAATTATGAAACACTTTCCCCCCCCTCACGTTTTTCAGAAGTAAACTGATCTTGTAATCCCCTTTTGGCGTCGCCCAGTTTTGCAAAGCAGGCTTCTTCAAACTTGGCAAACCTATTTCAAGGATCATATATGACTGAATGCCTTGCACACATTCTATTACTGAAGACCGTTACCCAGCCTTTTTAGATATAATTACTTTTCCCCCCCCCCAAAAAAATCAATGGGTCTGGCAAAACGAAGTGTCACGGAACGGGAAAGCGCGTAGTGAAAACGGGATTCAATACCAGTTCGATACCAACATCGCCCCATGCGATCATGTAATTATGACACCGAGAAAATAAGATTCGTAATTTTCTAGTTTGATTTACAGGAATGACCTTTAAATAATGGAGCGTTTTAGTATCAGAATTTCAGGATGTCCTCCTTCAAAATCATGCTTGATTGCTACTGTTAGTTTTATGGGTCTGGTTTCTTCTCCTATTAATACTACCCAGCTAAAAATAGGCCCTTTTCCACCACGAAATCCACACACCAGAACCCCTGGCTTGGAGAAATCCACTGGCTATTTTTTCTTAGCTGGCCGTTGAAGACCTGTTTCTTTAAAAGATGTTTTCATCACTGAATGCCCTACTCTGTATGGTTTTTTTTTCTCACAAACATGCTTAAAGTTTATGAGTGTCTTGTTCCATTATCGTTCCTAATGGAAAAAAAACACACACATCATTATCAATAACTATAATGAATCAAACTTATCTGTGACCCTGTGGGGTAACCATTAAATTCTGAAATTAAGCCAGTTTCTGAACTTAGCAACCCAAACCTGCCTAGGATCGCCACGGATGAACATAGAATCATAAGGCTGGAAGGGATTTTGGAGGTCTTCTAGTCCAACCCCCTTCTCAAGCAGGAGACCCTATACCATCCTGGTCAAAGGGTTGTCCAGTCTATTTTTGAAAACCTGGCGTTTCTCAACTCCGTGATGAGTGGAATGCTTGGGAATTCTGGGAATTGAAGTCCATGTGTAACAGTTTTGTCTAATGGACCCGTTTCAATTAAATAAAGGATTATATTAATGTTGTACTGAAAAATTGGGACCTACCTCAGGATCATCTTTAATATTGTCATGTTTCCGAGTCGAAGAAATATAAGATACTGCAGGAGAAAACATACAAAACAGAACCGTAAAGGAAACTCACCAGCATTTTTTATATCAAATAATGGGCAAACGTAAGAGGCTCTACATTTAGCTAGCCAAATGGCCAATGTAACCTCTCGGTGTCACTTGTTCAACTGCCATTTCACCTTATTATAGGGGTTTGGAAAGGAAAATCGTTTAAAATGCATTTCAGTACACCTATCCAATATTTTTGCAGAAATTATTTCTTCTTCTCTGTGGCAGATGACCAGCTGGATATCCAAAAATATGTCTCTGGGTCACCTTGACTCTGTCTGAGAGAAAACCCTGAGCAGTGTAAAATTAACCATAGGGCAAAATTCACTTAACGACTGTTTCACTGTTTTACTTAGCAACATAAATTTTGGGCTCATTTGCAATTGTTAAGTTGAGGGATAGAATAGAACAGAACAGAATAGAATAGCAGAGTTGGAAGGGACCTTGGAGGTCTTCTAGTCCAACCCCCTGCTTAGGCAGGAAACCCTACACCACTTCAGACAAAATGGTTATCCAATCTCTTCTTAAAAACTTCCAGTGTTGGAGCATTCACAACTTCTGGAGGCCAGTAGTTCCACTGATTAATTGTTCTAACTGTCAGGAAATTCATCCTTAATTCTAAGTTGCTTCTCTCCTTGATTAGTTTCCACCCGTTGCTTCTTGTCTTATCATCAGGTGCTTTGGAGAATACCTTGACTTAGGATCTTTGGGATCAAAGAGCCCCAGTTAAAATAACTGATCTACGTGAATATCTTCCTTTGATGGATAATCCAGCTGAAGGCAATGTATTATATTATTTCACCTATCTCCACATCAACCTCCGTGATGGAAGCTGACTGTGGCTGAGGCTGGACTAGACCTTTCGATCTCCCCGTTCTTAATCTTACACTTTTAAGTACCACGCCACGCTGATGAACAGTCTCCGAATATATCCAGGAATAAACTTTTACGATAAATAATTGATTTTGCCACTGGGCTTGGCAAGTGGCTCCATAGCTGTTCTTCCTTCTTCTGCATGGCCCCCTTGAGAAGCCTATCAATTAGTCATCGTCCTTGGGGATGTTTTGAAGTTTAAGAATGTGGAACGGGGGAAATCCCTAAAAGGGCATCCCTTTTTTTTGTTCTTTTACAAAATCTTTTCTAGACTGAGTGGGAAATCATACTCACTTCCGTCTGTTTCTTCTGTGGGGACGTCAGCTTCGTCATTCTTATCATCTAATTGAGGTTCCTGGGAAGGCATCACAGAATCCTGTAAGAACACGGATTCGTGAAGAATAAAAATAAAGAAAAAGAAAAAAAAAGGCAAATTTTGTGTAACGGGCTGGTTCTCTTGAGGACCAAACGGGAAATTCACCAAAAAGCGCCTTGCCGATTAGCTAGAAGGTGACAAACCCTGTACAACATAGTTCTAGCATAAACCGATTTTCCGTTTATGAATTACCACGTGGAGCTAAAATAAGCACGTTTTGCTGCATTTCACATAGAAGAAGTGCCAGCAGGAAGAAACATCTTTCTAAGGCTCTTTGGGGCAAGGAGTCACCACACAGAGCAATGAAAAGTATATAATGTATGGATGTATATGTGGAAAGAGCTTTAAGACAAAAAAACCCGGCTGCAATCCCACTTTATTTTCTCACTTCAGGATTATTGTGTTTTTTCCTGGTCAGAAAAGATGGATTAAGGTGTGATTTATCCCACGGACGAATCAGCTGACCTGCTGAGCCTTGGAAGCTGCACAGCCTCCATGCTGTGATGCTCTTGTTGTAACACGACCCAGTCAAAGTCTCGGGCAAGGAGCCAACTTACCATATGCCTTTTGCAGGTCAGTGGGACAAGAACGTGGCAGCGTTTATGGACCAACAACTTGCAGTTGATGCACTTGTAACCTTGTCTTCCTAGACCCCATATCCTTTCACTGCACTGGCCACAGTAGGCTCTCTGGAACACAAAGGGAAGGGACACCCAGGCCTCCAGATAAACAAAACTACATTTTTGAAAGCGAAAACGGTGGAAAAAAAACCAAAACAACAGCCGAAGGCTTTTGTTGTAGGATGGATACAAGGCTTCCCAGCTATCTCTGTGGTCTCTCCGATAGTTAAGACAGCATCACAGTTTCAGGCTGGATTGTTTGTTAATCCGGCACAGTATTTCTCCATCTCAAAAACTTTAATTTGGGTGGACTTCAACTCCCAGAATCCCACAGTCAACATGCTGGCTGTGGAATTCTGGAAGTTGAAGTCCGCCCATCTTAAAGGTTGAAGAACACGGTCTAGCATCATTTTGTCTGTGAGCAACAGAGAAGGATTTTTCCCATCATCTCCTACTTAAACCTTTGAACTAGAAATACAAACACCAAATCTAGCCAACTTTTGTACAGGAAGCAGATACAATAATAGTGAATATAATAGGTCCACTCCAAAAGTTTTTGCCTTTATTTGTTCTAATCTTCAACAAACTCCGTTTTCAACATGATAGTGTCCTGAATATGAGAATTCAGGACAAGTGTTTTTGAATGGAGAGGTAACTTGTTAGTCCAACCACATGGTAACTCACCTTTCTGCTTATTCTTAATCCATCTGTCTTGTAAAGTCAACCAAGTTCCTTCCTTCCTTTCCTTTCCTTTCCTTTCCTTTCCTTTCCTTTCCTTTCCTTT